ATGACCAAATACTATTAGGAGGAAGAGTTTCAACCACTTCATAGCAGAATCTTCTAAACTCATGGAGAACACTCGGCAAAAGAGCCATTGGTCCGAGTGATAGAGGGACATCATTTGCTTGTATTGCCTGAGGTGAGCTTCGGGATTAGATCTCCCATCATAAGTTTTGAACCTTGGCACGACGAACTTCTTTGGTACCTCTATTTCTCGAATTTCCCTAGTAAAAGGGGATTGCATTGCCTCGTCTTCTGCGTCGTCCTGGATGGCCTTGCCCTTTCTTCTGAATTCCAGCCGAGCTCTGAGGTCAGTCTTCATCTCAGGGGGATGTCCTTTGAGGTTTCCAAGGTCGTTGATGGGGTTTCCCTTCTCCGGGCGTCGTGTGAAAAGGGTTGAATCCTCCTCGGAGTTGTCCCCCTTCCCGCGCCTTGATAGGCTTCGCCAGAGGTTGTCCCAAGCCAAAGGCCTCGTCTTCTTGGAATGACCATCGAGGGGGCGCTCATTGGCTCTTGGGCGCTTTGGGACCCTAGAACTCTCCGCTTTGTTGTCCAAGTGATTTCTCAGGTCCTCGATTTTTGGATCCCAGGCGGAGCGTCCGCGGGAACGGAATGAATCTCTTGATCCATCGCTAGAGGTTGCAAATTCGTTGAGCTGGCTTAGGACATTCACATTATCTTTTTCTAACTGCCATAGCCGATCTCCAAACTTTTCTTCAATCATTTCCGCCAGTTGACGAGCCAAGGGGGCGGATCCTCTTGACCCAATGCCCATACTGGTTAGAGGAGTATACCCCCTTGACTGAACAGAAACGTTGTCGTTGTCACCAGCGTGATCCCTCCCCTTGTCATTATGAGGAGCTTGTAACTCGAGACTTCTTTGCTGGGGACCTTTCTCTTTCTGTCGAGTATTCACCATGGTCACTATTCTTTCTAGAGAAGAAACTAGAAAAATTAGTCATTTCCCACAGACGGCGCCAGATTGTGCGTGCAGGATTTTGCACAATATAAACACGAGAACAGATCTCTTTCGTGGTGAACATGTGTCCGTCAATCGGGTGATCGATCTTGCTACTTGGAACTGGTTGTGAGGGTTGAAGGTGGCTCAAGGTGGATAATGAATCACTTTTATGAGTCGTCTGAGTGATCCTGGAAGGCTAAAGGAGGTTCCTGGAACAAAGAAAAATAGATTAGAAGGGCGTCGGAGTATTTTATGACGTATCCCCTCCGACGATCAAGTCAGTTCTTTGAGAGAGTGGAAGAAGAAAACAATGTATGATGGTTGAGAAAAGGGATTGTTGCGTACCTCTTTTCTGTGTTTGTGAGGACTATTTATACCTTAAAAACTCATCATTGTTGACAGCGTAGCTAGTAGATAGTCATTGGAGGTGGGCAGTGTGCACACCAATTTCTATGAATAATGTTCTTATTCTTAATTGCTCGGGACCCCGAGCAACTAATGCTTTCTACTCGGCTTGCCGATCGTTTAATGATCTTCCCTCGGTGGGGGTGTATTAAATGGTCTGGCATTAGGAACATTTATTGTCTTTCAGGATCTTACGCATTAAATGTTGTCTCATCTAGTGAAGGATACATTAAATGCCTAACCTCGCAAGCCGTGTGTCAGCAAGGGCATTCAGGTTTTTTTGTCTCTGATCTGACACAATATGCCACGTGTCCATCCCCCTTTGGTTGAGTCTTCTACTTTCTTGTGCCTCCTGACACCATTTGAGTAAGACGAGGTCATAATGCTAATCTAGCCTAGTCTAGGCTAGTGATTTGTCCATCAATAGTCCCTGTAGGAGCAGAAATGTCCACCCAGATAGATACACCTCGGTGCCGAGGGACTAGCATGATTTATGATCGATATACCCAAACTGTCGAGGAATACGTGTCAGTCCGAGGTGGTTTAGGGATCCTTNAGAAGAAAAGCATTTTGTGTGGCTTCGTCCTGCCATTCCAACTTATCAAATCGATCTCTGGTTCTAGTAATGACAGTTCGATGTTCTTTAGTGCTATTAGAGTTGAGTGGAAGCTTCTTCAGCTCTGGACACTTGATTACCTCAAGGAATTTCAAGCAAGGGAAGGGCATGTTAAAAGTTTAAAGTAAACTTTTGGAAATTATTGNTGGTATCACAACAAGAGTCTCCATTGACGTCGAGTACACGTGTCATCACCTGGGAGTGTCTAAAAATGTCCCATCAAAATACTAGAAGATATATATGATCTAGTTAACAGGTTTGTTGACCTAATTGGGATCAAAATTACATAAAAAATTATGCAATTTTCAAACCATTATTGATAGTAAGAAAATATTGCAGACTGGAAGAGTTTTGGTCTATGGTTTACTATCTAAGTACAAGTATTATTTTCTATTACATACAACTCCACAATGTAGTTCATATTGATGAGTAATACTATTGAGACTTAAAAGTTTGATCAAATTTNACAAGCTTGTTTCTACTTTCTCTTTTGTAAGTCTTTGATTGTAAGCTTGTAACTTAGATTTCTCCATAATAATAAAGATCTTTTTCTTCCCTCATTTTTGGAGCTATATTCTAATTTCTTTGTTCTTTTTCAACTTTGATTGTGAGTCTTGGGTTAGTGAAAATTTATTTTTCACTATTCTAAGAAAGCAATTTTTGGAATTTGAAATTTGTCTTTCTTCACAGGGCAAGGGACTGTGGTAGATGCTCTTTAGTTGTAGAAAAAAACGTAATTTTAAAGTTTCCAGTTTTGCAAATGGTTTTGAAATTTTCCCTTTCTTTGTAGCTTCCATCAATTCATCTCTACTAATTACTTCTTCCACCTTATCACAAAACACTATATCAAGATACTCGAGGTTTGGAGCAAAGAAAAGCCATTTTACATTTTTCAACCCTGGGCAATTCGTTATAAATGCTCTACGAAGGCTGTGGAAGCATGTTCAGTTTCCGATATGAGAGTCGAGGGGATTATTACTAGTTTCTATCTGCTTTCCTTCTATACTCCAATCAATCATCCCAAAGACGAACACAAAGTGAATTTAGACACTTCATATATTGTAGAGAAGATATATTGAAAGTGATGCAACGACTGAAGGATCTCAAGCATATATATCGAGTGCAGCTCTGTAACTTGTGACACTTATTAAATCTTTGCAAAACATAGGCAGTTCTCATTTCCATTCTCAAATAATATAATAATTTCAAAGCATCCAATTTCTCTACCAAAGCTTCATNACCACCACACTCGAGAAGCAGTAATGGGCAGGTATCACATCTGTGAAGACAATACACAAGCTTATTTGTTGAGCTGAAGTAGCTTATTTGTCACAGATGGAATTGTGCAGCACATGGAATTGTGCAGCACAAGATTTAGAGATCTACAAAGCGATTCGTCAAAATAATCTTAGCATTAGAGTAAGAAATAGTAGATAGAAAAAATATTCATGTATTCATGAAGAACAATTGGGATATTGTAGAGAATAAGAACCCACCTAGATCACTTCCATTATGCTATCTGTAAACTGAGACCTCATCACTGAATTTGGGAACCTAGAAGAAAAGCATTTTGTGTGGCTTCGTCCTGCCATTCCAACTTATCAAATCGATCTCTGGTTCTAGTAATGACAGTTCGATGTTCTTTAGTGCTATTAGAGTTGAGTGGAAGCTTCTTCAGCTCTGGACACTTGATTACCTCAAGGAATTTCAAGCAAGGGAAGGGCATGTTAAAAGTTTAAAGTAAACTTTTGGAAATTATTGTATCTAGAACTTTGTAGATCATGCTTGCACTTTGTATCCTTCTACAAACATCTAGAACCTTTACATTCTCACCATTAAGTTAGAATTCTTGAACCTTCCAAACCTCCACCTACCTTGAGCTTCTATACCCATCTCTAGTCACTTATAAATAGACTCCCCACCACCCCAAATCACCAAGCCAACAAAAAACAAATCACCAACAACAATTACCATTACAAGCTTGTTTCTACTTTCTCTTTTGTAAGTCTTTGATTGTAAGCTTGTAACTTAGATTTCTCCATAATAATAAAGATCTTTTTCTTCCCTCATTTTTGGAGCTATATTCTAATTTCTTTGTTCTTTTTCAACTTTGATTGTGAGTCTTGGGTTAGTGAAAATTTATTTTTCACTATTCTAAGAAAGCAATTTTTGGAATTTGAAATTTGTCTTTCTTCACAGGGCAAGGGACTGTGGTAGATGCTCTTTAGTTGTAGAAGAAAACGTAATTTTAAAGTTTCCAGTTTTGCAAATGGTTTTGAAATTTTCCCTTTCTTTGTAGCTTCCATCCATTCATCTCTACTAATTACTTCTTCCACCTTATCACAAAACACTATATCAAGATACTCGAGGTTTGGAGCAAAGAAAAGCCATTTTACATTTTTCAACCCTGGGCAATTCGTTATAAATGCTCTACGAAGGCTGTGGAAGCATGTTCAGTTTCCGATATGAGAGTCGAGGGGATTATTACTAGTTTCTATCTGCTTTCCTTCTATACTCCAATCAATCATCCCAAAGACGAACACAAAGTGAATTTAGACACTTCATATATTGTAGAGAAGATATATTGAAAGTGATGCAACGACTGAAGGATCTCAAGCATATATATCGAGTGCAGCTCTGTAACTTGTGACACTTATTAAATCTTTGCAAAACATAGGCAGTTCTCATTTCCATTCTCAAATAATATAATAATTTCAAAGCATCCAATTTCTCTACCAAAGCTTCATTGTCAATGACAACATAGTCAATCCTCAACAGTTGCAAGGATGATAAACCTGATATCACTTGGAGTATTGAAGTTTGATCACAATATGTATTGTCCATATCCAAAATTTTCAAATTTACCAAGTTTTGGAGTTGAACTGGTAACCGACTTATTTTTGTGCAAGATATATTCAGAAACTGCAATGAAGTCAATTCACCAATTTCCAATGGTAAATCAACTAAACACATATTCATTGACAGGTCTAGAACTTTGAGAGCATGCATAGATTGGAAGAAGTCACTACTGATCTTGTTCAACTGATTTCCATTCAGAAGCAAAGTTGTGAGCTGAGGGCATGTTGGTGTTCCTATTAGTCTCAATTTTATTTACCATCAATGACATCCTCTTTACCTCTTTCCATTTTGAAACTTCAGGTGCTTCAGTCTCCCTCCCACCTGCTCGCACCAAAAACTTGTCTAGCTGCTCCTCATATTCACGACCTATCCACAATGTCATCTCACGTATCACGTCATGCATTTTTACAGTGTCATTTGAGACCTTTTCCAGCAAAACGTTTGAAGAAGACCCTTGGTTTTCAGCACCATCATTTAAAAATCCCTCATCAATCCATTTGTTTATCAAGTCCTCTACAACAATTTCTGAGTCTTCAGGGTACAAAGAGCAATATAAGAAACAAGATCTCACTGTGGCATTAGGTAGACTCTCATCATTGAAATGTAAAGGACGAAACACCTCATTTTCCATACCTGGAAATTGCACAGCATATTTGTTCAACACTTCAATCGCATATTCCCATTCTTGGGATGTCTTCTTGCAAGCCATGGCTCGACCTAAGGTAATAAGTGCATGCGACAAACCTCCACATTCTTTGGCAACAAGTTCAACTAACCTGGGTATGACTGGATCTGATTTAAGGGTCTCGTCACCAACTTTATTTTGAAACAAATCCCAAGCCGTCTCCCATGGCAAACACTTGACTCTAACCTTTTTTTGAGCTTCCATTTTGCCGCACACTTCCTCATAGCGCATTGTGAATGCTACCTTGCACTTATTTTGCTCATTTGGAATTGGAATCCCAACCTTTGAGAGATGAAGACGCTCCCATATATCGTCCAACAATAAAACAAACTGCTCAACACTCCATATATTTGTATATAGCTTTCTCATCTAGGCTTTTATTGTTCCATGTTTCGTTATGAAGCCCTATTGTTTTCCCGATGTCATCTTGAACTTTATCCATATCTACAGTACTAGACACCGTTACCCATATCACAACATCAAAATCATTAGTTGGGCTGGCAAACTTCTTGTTAATTTGGGTCATCAGAGTGGTCTTCCCAACTCCTCCTAACCCATATATCCCAATAATTCCCACATGTTCTTCTTGGAGGTGCCCCCAGATCTTGCTAAAATTCGATTCCGTGCCCACAGTTGGTTCGCTGGGTCTTATATCAACTATATCTGAAGGTAACCTCTTAGCCACCACTTCAAAATCTCCTTTGCTCTTCAAAGCAGCCACATCTTTTATCTTTTTGGCCACTTTCTTCCCCAACTTGTACCTATTGTAGCAATTCTTGTCAATCTCTTGACTGCCATTTGCTATCAGCTTATTTACTTCAGTTTCCATGGATTCCACCTGTAAAAGCCACCCTTGTACTTGCTCCAGCCGCTTCATCATTGGTTGCCTCTCGGCAACATCAACCTCTGTCTTCACATCGTTCCTCAACTGCTTCAGTTCTTCCAACGCAGTCCTTAAATTAGCCAACCAATCATCAAGTCTTCTGAAAGAATTGACTTGTGCAGCTGTGCAATCAAAGCAGCGAGGGATCAAGTTATCGATTGAGAGAGAGACGGAGCAAAAGTTTCCCATACTCTAGTGGAGAAACAAAGAAGAAAGTATGGGCTAGTGAGGTCTGGCAAGGCACAACTAGACCACTCTATGCCTTTTAGATACTTTATCAAGACATTATAGGCTATCTGAAGAAATTTTAGGTTTCTTCTTTGCATGTTTGTAATATAAATTCTCTGATTATTTTTTTAAAAACATATAATTATAAATCTTTAATTAAGGGTGAGGTGGTGGCCAGCTATCTCGACAGGCAAAGGTGAAAACCTTTGACTATGCGGTATACTTTGTCGGCCACATTTCAATTCACATTTTTTAAAGAGTAAAATTAGATTAATTTAAAAATTAGACTTGATAATCTCAATCATTGAATAGGTAGTAGATATCAATAAATGCTGAGACTCACAATGAAATCAATAGTTAATATTATCAAGTCTAATTTTTAAGTCCATGTAACATTGCTCTTTTTTAAAAACTAAACAGAACCATTTTTAAGTCTTGGACAAAGACTATGATATCCAATCACAAAAGAAGAAAAAGTGTGTAATATTAAAAATGGATTTATAATTTAATTTTTTTTATTAATTTATATAGTCATTGATCATCAAAATAATAAAATAAAATATGAAAAATTTCAACAACACTCTTTCTACTTTGTCATATCTTCAAGGATATTTCCTCTATTTTTTAAATCTCACAGACACCTCCTGTCAGAATAAAAGTGTTAATTAGAATGAAATTTTACTAAATTGCACATGATATATTTAAGAAAAAATTTCATTTACACCCTCTCTAGATAGACTTATCTTCAATGAGACCCCCTTTATGTTTAAATTTTTTTTTACATATTAAAATTCAAGTCGATTAAAATTTGATTTGTGCTAATTAAAATTATTTCTTATATATTAAAATTTGAGTCGATAAAAAATTCTATTTTTTTACATATTAAAATTTGAGGCTATTAAAATTCTATTCGAGGCTCATAGCAAATTTTGATCAACTCATCAAATTTTAATCGGTCCGATTTTTGATATATAAAAAAAATATAAATTTTAATTGATTCAAATTTTAATACGTAAAAACTAAATTTTAATTAACTTAAATTGAATTCTAATAAATAAAATATATAAATTTTAATTTATTCAAAACAAATTTTAATCGGGACAAACAGCTCAAGTAGAGTTTAAATTAACTCAAACTTTAATACTTAAAAAAAGGCTTTTAATATGCTCAAATTTTAATACATAAAAAAAAAAATAATCAGCACGAATCGAATTTTAATTGACTCAAATTTTATTATGTAGAAAAAAAATTTAATCAGCTCGAATTTTAATATATAGAAAGATAAATTCTAATCAGTTCAAATTTAATTTAATTTTATGGTAAAAGGTTATTTGATATTTATGTAGGGGTAATTTTGGTATTTGAGATAATTTATTTTTATTATAAATGGTGGTTTAATGGCAAGAGTGTTTTAGTGATGTTTAAATATAAACTAAAAGAGGTATCGGTGATATTTGTTATATAGAAGGGGTGCCTTTGAAAATATAGTAAAATAAAAAAGTGTGGCCGAAATTGTTTTAATAAAATAAAACATAAAAAAATTTACGCAATGATGCTCAACTATTGATCATGTTCTAGTAGTTGTTCAAATTATTTGGTCGCGTGCTTAATTTCTGCGTCGTTCATCATTCGAATTTAATTTCATGTTATTGGATTCCAAATTAAACTTATCAATAAAATCAAATATCAAATAAAATTTAAGTATCACGTAACAAGTTTATGATAAAAAAATTGTTAACAATCTAGATACTGTCTGTTTGAGAGATCATATAAAAATATATTTAATATTTTAGAGATCAAAATAATATAATTGAAACATTGAAGATCAAAATGAGATAAATCTTATACTTTAGGAACCTCTAGTACAATTAACCCAATTTATTTTTCAATCTTATGTCTACTAGTGTTGCACCTCTATTTTTTTTTAAAAATATAATATTAAATCTCTAATTAAGGGTGAGGTGGTGGGTCACGATAGGCAAAGGTGAAAACTTTTGACTATGCAGTATACTTTATCGGCCACATTTCAATCACTTTTTTTAAAAGTAAACCAAACCATTTTTAAGTCTTGGACAAAGACTATGATATCTAATAACAAAAAAAAATAAAAAATGGGTGTAATATTAAAAAGGGGTTATAATTAATTTTTTTTTTTATTAATTTATATGGTCATTGAACATTAAAATAATAAAATAAAATAAAAGATAAAAAAATTTAAGTAATGATGCTCAATTATCCATCATGTGTTCTGTGTCTTATTTAAGTCATTGAACACTAATTAAATTGTTCAAATTATTTGGTCGTGTGCTTAACTTTTGTGTTTTTCATCTCCATCATATTAGATTTGAATTTAATTTCATGTTAATGGAATCCAAATTAAACTCATCAATTTCAATCCCAATCCAATCCAAATATCAAATAGATTTTATGTTCACAATCCTTATATCCAACTTAATTAGATATTAACAAATTA